GTCAATATGGCAAGACCTCAGTTTGAGATTTTCCCATAACGACCTCACTCTCGGTTATTAAGTAGTTATTATTTTGTTTTCTTCTTTTAAAAGCAATAAATAAATTTACAAATGGATAATTGACAAATACTGCATATTTGTCTTGTCAGGCAGGTGAGAAACATTATCATCCTCAATGTTCAAGATGTGCAAGGTGTCATGGAGTGTTTGGTGAGGGTCAAGAGATGTTTCTACAGGGTAAGGAGTTTTACATGTACATGTATGCTGCAATTCAGAAACTGATTTTTGTATTCTTGGTGAAAAAGGATCCAATGGCAATCTTCAGGCGAGGCACACAAGCCTTATGTTTAGTGCCATGTGGTGCTTTCATTATGCCAAAGATTCTGGAAATTTTGGTCGGAAGTCAAATAGAAAGATCGGTTTCGGTTCCTTCCGACTGGAATATTCGGGATCACCTCTGGAGGGGTCCACTTATTCCAGTCAGAATATTCCAGCCAAAATTTGTTGTTCCATGTGGACAAACTGTTTCATTACCCTACTTCTTTTCACTTATGTAGGGAATTCAGAAAAAGAATAAAAAAATGGTAAGAGCCATTCCTCTTGGTTGGCCCAGTTTATCAGAAAATCCCATTCCATTTTCTTCAGGACTCTTACCGGTCGGTTTGGCATAGTGGAAAACACCCATGGTATCTAGATTGAGTGGTCCAGAGTCGAGTCTCTCTTTATATCAATTTGAGGTCTGTGTGTTCTTGAATAAAACAGTTGACTCGTCAAATACCTCTCTCAAACCTTGAGTGTGAACGGCAGCTGAACTTTGGGCAAATTAATGGAGTACTTCATCTTGACAAAAACAAAATGGTGTTAAGTTCGTTGTGAGCTTCATGTGCTCGGCTCCAGATTTTGTTCATTCAATCTAAAGCACTCTTTTGCCATGTACTGTACATTCTTTGTAGGCTCTGAAATTTGGCACCCTGATTGTAGTTTTGCAGCAGCACAGAATGGTGAACTTGACACACACTCAGTAAGTCATTAATCTCTTTTTTGTTGGTAAACTGAAACGTTTGTGTTTTCTTTCAAAACCTGTTATTGTAGTCTGAAATGAGTCTCAAAGGCATAAAAATGAAGCCAAAGGGTTAAGAGAGGACTGCCTGCAATCAGCCCTTTCTCTTAGGATCAATTACTTTATTATCATAAACTTACATGTAACACAAATGTGTAGTTCCAGAAAATATCCATACCTCCCCCACAGACTCCCCACCCCTCTGGAAATTCCAATTAAACTTGATACATTTCTTTAAATGTTTTGGTCTTAGAGAACCCCCCACCCCCAGGAAATTCCAATCCCTTCTGTGGGGAGAGTATAGATATTTTCTCCCATCCCCCAAACTCCCTGATTCTCAAGAAAAAAAACAGTCTGACTGCTAGCAGTGTAGCCTTACAAGCACAAGAATGTTATGTAATATTTAGCATCTGTATTGCACCATGTTGTGCCAACCACTCTCCTCACAAATGTTACGCACATTTGTGTTTGTTACTTACTGATTTGCTATATATTTGTGCTTTCCAGGCAGCTCCAAGGGATGGATATCAGAATTCCGGTAAGAGAGCGGATATTGTTATTGCTGATTTTCCATATTACAGTTTGGAACTTTTAGCCTAGATGTACTTTATTCTTCTTGTCTACATTTTTTTTTTGACTGCAAAGTTTGTGATAGAGTTTGAGATTATTTCTTAGACTCTATAGTTGAAATCATAATCATTATATGAACTTCATTGAAGTTCAAGCTAAACAATAAAAGTTGTTTAACCACAACATTCTGAACAGTTACAAGTATGGGATTTTTTCTAGTTTGTGAGAGTCATAGACCATCGTAATTTTTTTGTTTTTTTGTGGACAGCAGAAGAGGATGGCCACCGTCCCTCCCCTCCCACCAGAACCTCAGCAAGTCGTACAACAGATTGGAAAGTGAAGTATTCACCTCAGAAAGAAGAGGAAACATACAGGCTGACACAGCCTTGGAGAGGAGGCGAGGTGGGAAACTACAGTGTAGATATTTAAATGAAGCTGATTTATTCATTGTCATTAAGTTTGATTAACAACCGAAATGGAGGTTAATAGTGGTGGTTATTTACCTTGCCACTTCGCAGCTCAATAAATATCTACCACTTTCACCGACGTTACCAGGTGGACAACTGTTTAAGTACATACCACACAAACAATAATGAGCAGAACTAAAAGATTACTTTATTTCTGAGAATAAACTGATAAATGGTGGGAAATTTCTCTTTGTCTACCTCCGAGTTAACCAATCAGAACTGAAGTATGGTTCGTACTATTCACTTGTGTGGTACAGTGTGCACAAACAGAGGTCGGGGGGTGGGGTGATTAATGGCCTAATGGATAGTTAAAGTGTGCAGAGGTCTTAGCAAGTCCTTACAAATTTACCAGTGAGATAAAAATTAGGTTTTGTCATGAAGAGCACAAAAATGTGANGTTAGACGTATCTAACGGATCAAGAGTTCTCTGAAGTGTTCAAAATGACAAGAGATGAGTTTAACAAGCTACCGACTTGGAAACAGGGATTTAAAAAGAAAGAAGTTTTGTTATTTTAATGAACCGGTCGTCCGATTTTGAGCCTTGTGGGCCATGTGATCTACTTAATTAAAGAAGCTAAATACCACTAAATACCATACTATGTAGTGGAAGAACCTAACGACCCCGCCAGCTCTCTGTTTTTATTTGGCGAAGAAAATTCTGTACTCAGTGTGTCGTAAAAACTTCACACACTCACACACAAAACAATTTCCTTCTAAGCGTCGCTGACATTTGAATTAAGACATCAAATAATGTATATCAGGAGAGGATGAAGAGTGAGAGAGAGACCTTATTTCCAAGGCAACCCTGGCAAGTTATTTTTTGACATGGTACCCAGTTCTTCCACGGATAATGTTGACAAGCGCATTACGTGGATTTTTTCGTGTAGGCTGAAAATGCGCGTGAAGTCGCTTGGGCTGTCCACGTAAAATTCGCGTCACATGATTGGTTATTTCTAGACCCTGGGATTTCCGAAAGCAGAAGTGTTCTAAAAATAGCGCGACAGGGATTGCCTTGGGAATAACGGTAAGGTCTATACAGGGGGGG